AACTGCCTGTGGACAGACTGCCTTTGCCTGTTCTGCTTCGGAGGGGGTCGCATCGGCCGTGTGGATGCCCATTGCCAGAGGCTTAGCAAACAGATGTGCCAGGACAGAATAGACTTCTGAAGGCTGATCTGTGGAAAAAAGCAATCGAGGCAGCAAAGGTACAGAACTGCCGTGGCGATGCCTAGGGACTGCAGGCGCTGTGTGGCACCTGCTGTGTGGGTTGTGCTGGTCCCTTCACAGCGGGCTGGTCGCTAATGTTTTCTGTGCCAAGGAAAGGCAAGACATTGAAATCTTGTAATGTCCAGAAACTGAAGCACTGCATGGCTCATCTTTCCCTCGCCCACTTCATACTGGACCTAGTCTAGCAGATGGAACCAGGCAGAGAACAGGCTCTGCTGGAGTCTGAGCCTGGCTCAGCAGCTTCAGGGGGTGAGACCCACAACGCCTCAACCATTTGGGGCCACCATTGGGATCCTCCTTTTCCCTGCCCTTGATTAGACCACCATGGGCAATATTCAGAGGTTCTCAGACATCCTTCCCTTGAGAAAGACCCTTATCTTAAATCAAGACAAGGTAGCATTTCCGCTTGATGCTTCTTTTCAGCTGAAAATAACATTTCAGTATCCCACATTAACTAGGATTTCACGTTGCCTACCTTCTTCTGGTTTGTCAAAGAAGGAAAGGGATACCCAAGGATGAATTATTCTGGGGCAAGACGCGTGCATCTCTGCTTAATAAGCTGAGATCTGTACATTCAAGATATGGGCCACCTAGGCTATTCAAAATCACTTGTTAGTTTTAAGATACTAATAATAAAATACCTTGACATTGGCTTGTTGCTGCAAGCATGATGTTAATGGCAGCAATTCAAGCTGCAAGATAAACGTTGGCAAAAGCATATGGGGCATCCATTAAGTGCTCATAAGTTGTTGATGCTTTTGTGTGTGTGGCACACATTTCAGATTTTAACCCTTCTCTGCAAACTCTGCTTCTAACTTTTTAGTTAATACAGCAGTGTACTAGAATAACCACTTAAAAGGCGGCTAAAGTTAGATGTGTTCAATACATCCAGCAATTACCATGCACTCTTACAGCTTCATGGAACACAATTTTTTATTGATCCTGTACCTGCAGAGGTCATGCAGAGCTGAAGGCACAGTGAGGGGAGGAATTTCAGTATAGACCTGAAGTAGTTCCAGGGCTCAGCTAGAAATAACTGAAATTGCATATCGGCTACAAAGGCCGCCTCTTAGCAAGCCTAGGACTTTTCCCATCTAGTACGGTAGAAATGTACGGTACTTTTTCAAGTGCAGTAAAAATGTTTGCATGTCTGCTGATCATACAGATTGCATTCCAAGACACGAGCAAGCTGCTCCCCATTCATACATCCTCCTAATGCTAGTCTTGGATGTCCTTTCACACTCTTATAATGACCAGGGAACAGATCTCAGGTCCTGAGGTCTTGTTTCCACTACTGAGCACCATAAAGTTTCCCTTGCACTGAACTTATCTTTTGCTCTTCGTATCTGTTCTTCTATGTTTTCAAACCACAAGCTCATTACACCCTTTTCTGCTTTAAGGAATCAGAAATTAAGGAACACACAGTATCCTTGTGATACCGTGTGATTTAAGGAACACAGGGTATCCTGGCTTCCTCCAGATGTTGTACTGTAACTGCCATCATTTCTATGGAATGGCCTGCCAGGAGAGATAATGTCAGATATCCCAGATTTCTTTAAGAGGGAGTTAAAGATGTATCTCTTCCAACAAGCCTTCCCAGATTAGTTTTATCTAACATGCTTGTTTTTAGTTGAAATTTAGTTTAGTTGAATTTTTTAACTATTGTTGGTTTCATGTCTTGTGAACCACCCAAAGCCTATGGGAATGGGGCAGTATAGAATAAATCTAAATAAATATAAATTTCCCAGCCAGTACATCCATTCCAGTGTAACACATGTGGGGGCTATCAGATTGGGCTATCTATATGATGGAAATCCTTTGCGGTTTTGGTGCCCTGCTTTGCTCACTGGAGAAGTGAAATAGCATGATCTAAATAAATTAAATACACCTTGTGTACAAGTCGCTCACCACACTAAATTCTTGATGTCCATCCATGTCCAAGATTTCTAGCAATGAGTGCACTGATACGCATATGCAGGAATGGCATTGTGTTCAGCCATGACATCTTCCCCTCCCCTCTGCCTTGCATGTTATTGATCTCCCCAGGTGGCTTATATTGGACACCTCCCCAGGTGTCCTTTTCTAGCAACATAAGCTTCCTTGTCACTTCAGCCTCATAAGCTGGGCTTGTCTTCTGTCAAATAGAATATTTTTGTCCAGTCTGAACATGGGCTGCAGCTCACTGTTGACTCCTGGAAAGTGAATGTTGTATCTGTAAGAATTGTAATATAATTGTAGCCAGAGTGTTGTGAACAGAGGGAAGGGGATCCTGACATTTAAGATAACATCAGTAATGTTACTATATGTAAGCTGATTTATTCTGTGCCTTCAGACCATGTCCTGGGATACAGATATTAAATGTAAATGCAAGAGAAAAACTGGACAGCATTACTCTGTTCTAAAGCTACTGTCCTAATTCTTTGCTTCCTTTGTCAGCATCACATGTTCTTTTCAAGTCTTTTCTATTGTACTTCTCAGTGCATAGCACTTCTCTACCTTTTTATGTGTTCTGTTTGCTAGGAGCTTCCTGCAAACCAGCCATCCTGAGATGCATTTAATTCCCATATTAATGCCATAAAATCTTTATAGCCTTTGCAACAAAAAGGACCAGAGGGCAATTTACTACTCTGTATGTTTTTTAACAAATATGGCTCTAAAAAGCCATTGACAGTGAGCAGACATGGATGTGTCTCAATTATATGTAAAAGGGGCATTTAGTTAACCTTACAAATTGCCTTTATTCATTATACCTAATTCATAAACAAAAGTTACTGAATGCAACTAGAAATCATTTCTGATATGCTCAGCCTTCCTATAACAAATTATTCTCTGTCATCCCATACTGACTAGTACAAGGTCAGGCTGGCAAAGTAGAGCTTGCACAGGATGCACAGGATTTCTTCCTTAAATAGAAGCCGAGGAACGAATTGTTTGCTTAAAAAAGCAGTTTGGGGCCTTGAATCCATTTAATATTGCTATCTACACAAATTCTGTTATTTTGGTGATTTGTTGGTCAGTCGTGATCTCGCGTTGTAATACGTCTAAATTTTTCTTGGTTTCACTGGATATTAGCTGCCTGTGTGTGTGGAGATAGGCAGAAAGGACTGTAGCTCGATGGTAGAGCCAGAGTTCGGTGCCTGGCATCTCCATGTATAGGACTTTACCTTGCCTGAAATCCTGCTGTTTGAGTTAAATAGACTTATAGTCTGACTCAGACTAATGCAGTAACATAGGTAATTTGCTTTTCCAATCAACTGTGGGTTTTGTTTTGTTTTGTTTTACAAAAGTTGTGCATTGAGCTCAACTTTCACCCCAACTTTTCTATCAAAATCATCATTTAAATGTTTTCCCCAGCAAACCAACTACTCAGAAATGTACTAAAGTTTACATTGCCCCAGGCTCCATTTTCTGCTTGGTTATACCTTTTCTGAATGTGAATGGTGTCTAGAAACCTAATTTTGAAGTAGTGGGGAAGATTGACATGGCCGTCAGAACATGAAACCCTTTATGTGACTGAGGAATTGCTGCTGAATATTTATGCAATGATTGTGGAAATTAGAAAGTCATCTGATGTCTTTCGGTATGTGAGGTGTCTCATCAAAACCAGCATGTAAAATAGAGCTGATTCCTTTTTATTGGGTCAGTTCTTGCTCTGAGCAAGATTGCCCAAGCTTCCTAAGCTTTAGGCGGCTTCTGCAAATAAACGACTGAGGAAAGCAGAAGAGTAAGTATCAAAATGTAAAAAAACAGAGTTACGTTAGTCATGAAGAGAGAAAATCCAGCATATACTACTTCTCATTTCTGCCTGTCAAGCTGCTGAAAACCCATTTCCACAGCCCTTACAGGCTTTTCCCTTTAGTCAGTCTAGGTCTTGCAAGCAAGGAGAACGAGAAGCATAAAAAATAAGAACTGAGTCCCAGTATAGCAAGGCAGCGCAGTAGCTTCATTATTCTGCCTGCCATGCATGTAAGGAAGCTGGATAGTCAGAAGTGCTCAAACTGCTCTTGTTCCCCAGCTCCGTATGCCACATAACTTCTGCTTTCTGGTTCCCCAGGGCATATTATACTTTGTTTCTTGCATCCACTGCATCAAACTGGCAGGCAGAGGTGAATGTAAGAAAATCTCAGAGATGGAATCCTCAGACAAAGGTGTTTATATCCTCAGTGTAAAGGGTTGCTAATTGTTGATAGATGCCTCTTATATACAAATATTTGCTCAGCATAAATCTTTGCATGGCACATTTTCTAACAAAAGATGTGAACATGTCATCACTCAGTGTACAGTCCACTTGTGGTTCTCACTTCTGGGAAGTCTAGCAATTTTAACTTGGATACTACCTCTTGGGTTACAAATGGGAAAGTAAATTTTGCTAGTGGCAAGGCTCACTTCTGCGCTGGTCGTAAGAACCTGATGAGTCAAATGATTCAAGGTTGACTTGCTCTTTCATGGGAAGCTGACTGGTTCTCTCAGCTAATCACTTTATAATAGGCAAAATACATTGTTCATATCTGTTCTCAAAACAGCCACGGACAAATAAATCATTAACTCTCAACAACCATGTGAGATAGAGCAAGAGACAGTGACTGGCCCAAAGTCCCTGGTGAGCAACATGGTTGAACAGGGACTGGAACCCAGATCCTCTGCATCACAGTGCAGCGCTTTCGCCACTGTTGTTGGGAGTCCAAGGGCAACAACTTGCTAAAAGGCCCTTAAGTGATCCCAGAGGAGTGCTGGGCTTTTATCCCAGGCTCTTCAGGGGCACTTACGACATGCACTGTGCACATGAACCCAGCGCTAACAGCTGCCCAACTTCCTTTCAGACGGTCAGTAACATGCCATGCGCTCTGTTGACGGGCATCAGGACACTGCCGGCCTTGGAAGCAAAGCTACCCGAAAGGCCTTCAAGCAAAAGTAGAGATCTCCCCAGAGAAGAAGAGAAGGAAAAGAAGAAAAAGAAGCACAAGAAAAGATCCAGATCCAGATCCCGGTCCCCTGCTTCCAAGTATCACTCGTCCAAGTCCAGGTCTCGATCGCATTCGAAAGCCAAGCATTCACTTCCCACTGCCTATCGAACTGTCCGGCATTCCAGGTGAGTCTTGTGAAAGGATGCTGTCATTAAATACTCTTCTCTGCTCGTTTTCTTTCTCTCAGAGGTGCCTTCATTCTGGGGCTGTGTTATACCCGTGGCCAAACAATAATGGGTTGTACAGTAAGATACAGTAATGGATTAAATAGTGAGTTCTCTCAGAGCTTAGGAAATCCTAAGTGTCAAACTATGTCAACTTTTTAAACAACTGGTCATAGTTTAGCCATGTCTTAATGGTAGCATTTGCTTCTATTTTCCAGCAGTACAGCTCAACTTGGTTTTGCTTTAATAAGGGCTCTGTGATGGTGGCACACATTTTGTTAAGAATATTGAGGTGTGGGGGAGAGGAGGAAGAATGAGAGAAGAACCTAAATTAAAACTTTACCTTGACTTGTTTCAATAACTATTCGGACTGGTTTGCCGAATTAATTAATAGAAGTTGGGATAGATGGTGTTTGACAGTTAGCAGATTAACTTAAAGTGCAATTGCACTAAGTGGTGCAGGAGACGTCTTGCACAAAGCAATATGCAGGGCCTACCTAGGGGCAGGCTGCCGCTTTTGAATTACCAGATTGGAGTTTTAGAAGACGAGGCTGCCTTGTTCTCAGAAACAAGCGCTGTGTGGGAATGAGCAGCTCCTTGGAACAAATTGCATCATGGAAACACACCAAAGCTTTGCATGTGCCCTATGACCCTCCAAGAGTAGCCGGAAGGTACATGATGAAGCAGCTAGCAGGAGCTGAAGGCTGGTTGAGAGTCTGGCCAGTGCCAGTACCTAGGAACCCTCCCATGCACCGCCTCAGCCTCCGTCATGGAAGCAGTACAGGGTAGAAAGACGTGAAGTGTTTGTTTTATTGGGAGGGCCCATGGCTCAGCGATAAGGAAAGCATGTGCTCTATATACAGAAGGAACCAGATGCAGTACCTGACATCTCCCGTTAAAAGGATTTGCTGGCAGAAGAGGCAGAAAAGCCTTTGCTGGAGAGCTGTGCCTGTCAGCGCACGACAACTCATCCATCCTGCTATCCAGCCCCAGTCGGGTTGATTTTCCGCTCCTGTCAGCCCCATCCAGCAGTCAGTAGTGCTAGGAGTAGCAGTCCAAAACTTCTGGAGGGCACCAGTGATGTACCGCATTACAGGCCTTTTGGCAGCATAGATTCCCTCTGCTTCACTACAGTTCCACCCTGGGAATTTGAGAGCTTGTAAGTGGAATTCCGAACATGTTGAGTGTCGCTTCTAGTATTCTGATGTGCCAGAAATTAAGAGAAGACAGAAGGCTAGCCGATGGTCAGAAGGAACTTGTGTGGGACTTGCACTCACTCACTTGATCCCGTGTGCAGTCTCTTGATTCAGTCTTTGGACTGATTTGATACAAGCTGCTGGTGAAACTCTGAGAAACCTGACTCTGAAAGGGCTCTCAGTGCAAGTCTATGTAACCAAAAGCACCACAGTGAAAATCAGGCCAGTCTGACATCATGCAGCACATAGATATATTCTTCAGCTTTGGAGATGCAGCTGTACCCCTCATGGCAGGAATTTCCCACAAGCATTTTTGCTTCGTAGTGGATTCCGTCTGTGCCACAAACGCATGACATCCAGCAATGTGTGTCTGCATGTGAATATTTTGAAGAGCCAAATTCTTATGCCAGAAGAGTTTGCATTCTGCTTACTGTAGCACCATATGGGGATTTTTCTTTCCTTTTTGGCCACCCACAGTTCGTTTCTTTATCAGCGTCAGAGCCTCCTGTCAGCCATTGGCTTGGGACCCTGTGGAGAAGCCATTTTAGTTAGATACAGAAGGAAAATCTTGGAGCCCTTTTTTTGATCCAGGTTCAGCCCCAGATTTCTGTGTTTCCCAGTAGGTCTCAAAGCCTCACGACAAACACTGATGCCATGCAGTGATTAACACTGTGCCAATTTAGTTGCTATGAAACATCAGTCATGGGAGGGCTTAATGTGTGGCGTTCTAGTTGAGAAGTTTCAAATTTCACAGTTGAGTATCAGTAAATACAAATAAGGGCTCCATTAATAAAGTATGTATGAATTCTCCTTATTTTTTTCCCCAAGTAAATTGGTTGGGTTGGGGTGGTATTGTGTATTAGAGGGGAGGAGATAAGAAGTTCAAAAAGTGATTACACAGTGAGTGATTTAATGATTGTGCAGTTAAATTTTACAACCGACCCCCTCAAGCCACCTATTCTGAAAGTCTCATTTACAATAAGGTCTCCTCCAGAGAAGGTGTTATACATGCGCATGAGAGAATAATCAGACAGCTGCAGATGAATGGGGTGCTGTGGAGTGCAAGGTTGCAAGTTTGCGTTCAGTTGAGCAAGAATTTCATTTTACATTAATCTCTTTCATTACGTACTTCAGTAAGAGATTAGTTTGCAAAGCCACCTACTTTGTTTAGCCAGCTAATGAGTTGTGTATTGTAATTAGCCAAGAAAGATATCATTAAAAGGTTTAGTTTTTAAGATTACTTGATTGACATAGTGAACTTGACATGCTGGTGGTCTCATTTTCAAAAAGTCAAACTAGGCAGGCCCCAAAATGGTTTTCCCTCATTGCGTTGCCAAAAATGAGTTTCCCACATCACTCCAAAATCCATTCATTTCCCTTGGAGGCAATGTTTTTTCATATAGTTGCCACTCCTTATGGTGTAATATGATGTGCCAAATCTTTCACCAAAATGGACCTTTGAACAGAACCTGTTTATTATCGTGATGGGTATTAACATGGCTTTATAGAGTTGAAGGCCTTATGAAGATTACATCAGGCCTCAGATGATAACCTACAGGCTTTGTCATATTAAAAAGTTGGCTTTTTCTTATTTCAGAGCTAATAGCAACAGCCCCTTTCCTATTTAACACACAAAAAAATTTTTTTTAAAGTTGAGGCTGCATTTTGAAAATATATGCACAGTACTCATATTTCAAGCTAATGGTTTTTCTTTTCCTTATTTTCTGGGTTCTTGTAGGCTGAAACATTTCTAAGCATGCTTCCTTTAAAAGTTAGCTATGGGTAAGAGTCTGGAGCCCTTTCAGGGGCCTACGTAGCTTCCCAAGTTAGCCCATTTTTAAAGTTCTGAACATGAAGTGTGTGCCTCCATATCACAGACTTCCAGAATCCACAGGGACGCTGAGCAGCCCAACAGTGGGAGCCGCAGCAGAGCACGGGAATTCCCAGGCAGCCTCGACAACGCAAAGATATGACTGCCGGAGCTCTTTAGAGGGAAAGCCTGGTAAAACGTCAAGGTGTCTGACTGACCTCGAACTTCTTTGGTCTCTTTTATTTTTTCATAGTATTATTTCTATTATTATTATTATTATTATGATTATCTTCATCTTTCTGTATTAGATCCAGTAAAGATCTGATTTCCGAGGGAAGCTGCAGTCACTCAGCAATGCAATGGATATAACAGCCTTTTTTGTGTGTGGGTGGAAGTTCTCCCACCCCTCTCTTTTTGTTTCAGGGTAGCTCACTTTTTCATAGCTCAGGCTAAGTGTGAGGGAGTGTACACAGAGGGATCCACAGAAAATCGCTCAGCCCACCGTGTTGCCTGTTCTGGGGAAGAGGTATATTTGTGTCACTGTGGTAGGGTGCTGGAGCATACTTTAGAGTTGCATCTCTGCTCAAGTTGCAATATAATGTAATATATCAAAGATACAGCATGTATCCTTAACGTAGAAGCAGCTGAAGAGATAGGGCAAAACCTTGGCATCTCTCTGGAGTTCGAATGCTTCACTCTGAAACCGTCCGTCCCAGCTCCGAAATCAATGTTTTTTCAGATTCTTAGCTGTCATCGCAACTCCAGGAAGTGTGAGAAACGGCTAGCAAAACGCATTTTGGAGTCATCTGGGCTTGCGGGGCGGGGGGGGGGGGACACAGATGGGTTGGAGAATTAGGTTCGATTTACAGTAAGTAGCGCATCTGCCATCAGTGACTCCGAGAGAGGTAAACTTGAAAGCACAACTAGAACTAATGGCCCATAGTGTTCTTAAAAAGAAACCAAGGTAGTTTTCTGAAGGAGCCTAGAAGGAGAGAAGCATTTTGCAGCTCCCACTCCCAGTTGTGTGTGCTCTCTGCTGAAGGGTACACATACTTTATCAGCAAATGCAATCCTGACTCTTGGGTGGTTGATTGCTGTTAGCAGGTTAAAAGGCCGGGCTGAAGTCAACACTTCCTGCAGCATCACAAGCATATTTTTGGTGTTGTCAGTTCTCTGTGGGAGTGTAAAGTTTCCAAATGGATGGGCCTGCTGAGATCTTCTCCGGTGCCCTCAGGCTTGCTTACTTAGTCACCAGCCCCTTCCCGGCATCATACAGCACTTTTGTGTTGGGTTGCTTACCTTAAATAAAGTTACCCATCTTTGTGGGGGGGGGGAAGTAACTTCAGTGCCCAATTAGCAGCGTGAGTTTTATCTTTTAAACACTTCAGAATATGAAGCGATCTTAAAATACACGCTGCATCAGAATCAAAAGAATTGGAGCACAAAACGTTCATGTCAAGGCATCCTCAGGAAGCTGACAATACCTCCAGCAAACGGTGTGCCTTGCTTGTTAATTTTGCTTTTAAGCATGTGTGGTGCAATGGACTCACATTGTATAATGAGGCTTGAAGACAACACGTCTCCCTTGAGATCAGGTGAGGAAGCCGAGGTCACCGCCTTCCCTCGCAAGCTGAAGCATTTCCTCCCATCTCCTATTCAGGTCTCGGTCAAGATCACCAAGGAGGAGGACACACACCCCCGAAAGGCGCAGAGAAGAGAGGAGTGTTCCAACCGCGTACCGCGTTAGCAACAGTCCCGGAATGAGTAGACGGCACACACGCTCCAGGTATGGAGTTGCATTTGCAAAATGGTTCTGTTTCTGCGGAGAACTTCCCTGGCTTGGCTGGCCTTGGTTACTTTAAAGTATCCCTTCCTACATCTGTTCCGAACTAGAAATTGCCAAGATGGCATACAGAATGATTTAAGATCACATGCATATGCATTTTAAGAAGCGAAACAAAACATTGAGACATTTGGGCCACCAAAGGAATTACAAACAGATTGTGTCATCTGAGGCACCTTCTAGGTTGTCCCTCAGGGGCTGAAGGCCAGTGAGAGACCCAGTATATGTTGCTGTCACTCTGCACAGATCAGGATGCAACCCTCACCTGCCTACATCAAGGCATTTCAGAAAAGATTGTTAATAATGGCCGTCACTCAACCTGTCTCTTAGGGAGCTTGTCTCCTGCATAGTTGGTCATCCATCTTTCTTTCTTTCTTTCTTTCTTTCTTTCTTTCTTTCTTTCTTTCTTTCTTTCTTTCTTTCTTTCTTTCTTTCTTTCTTTAAAACATTTCTATGCCGCCCCCATCGCAACAAAGTCTCGGGGCGGCTCACAAAGAATACATAAAAACATACATAAATAATAATATAACAATTTAAAAGAAGAAAAACAACATTTAAAAAACCCCGGTGCATTCTCGGCTAAAAATTTTAGAATCCTAATACAATAATTTAGCAATTAAAATAAGTTTTAGCAAGAAGCCCAGTGCAATTCTGAGAAACCTCCGCTCAGTCTTCAGAACTCAGTTTGAAAACCACCAATGTAAATCTTTTATTGAGGAGCAAACACTGCAAAGCAAACTCTCTTTTCCCCTCAGATGCTAAGCTGCTTGCTCGCCACGAAGCTGTCGGGGCATTTAGGTGCGTGAAACGATTGAGTGTGGGTATCTGGGGACTTTTGCTCTCTCATCCTACTGTGAAACACCAGGCCGCTTTTAAATGTCCCTCCAAAACGGGTGTATGTGATCTTGGGTGATTGCAGCCATGCTCTTAAAAAGAAAACCGAGCCTGGCGTCTTCAAGCCCATCCTTTAGTTTAGTGGTGGTTCTGCTCAGCAATGTCCAACATTTCTTCCATGATCTCCATGCTGCGGGAATTAGGCATGCAATGAAATGCAAAGTGCAGCATCCGGCAGTTGCTCAAGAGCAACAGTGAGGGGATCCGTAGAGCTAAACGGTAGAAAAGGCTTTGCTAACATTCTTTATTCATAGCTCGTGGTGGAGATCACACATTTGCAAGCTTCTTTGGTCACGCAGCTTGTTGAACGGGATCTGTGGGAAAAGGTAGAGAGGAATAGACAGGGTGACCCAGGGTCACCTACTGTCACTTTCCAAACTGTTAATTTTTACGTCCATTGAAGACATCTGCTGAGTGACGACTCAACAGCTTTATAGTTTTGTTAACTATGCCGTGTTCCAAGTATTAGATTTGTTTCTTTAATCTCAAAAGACAAAACATGCCTTCCCCCTTTTCATCCTGCCTGATGTGCATAAAAGGCAAACATCGAGGTATGCATATGGATGCCACAAAGCTGACAATACAGGGATGATTATTAATGGCCAAGTAATAAATCCCAAATATGGGAGCACACGTTATCATTGGGAGACATACCTGAGAGTTCTTAATAGCGCTAAATGCAAGGAGCCGCCCTCCTCGTTACATAGTATAGTTCAGAGTACCTGTTCTTCAGCTGAAAATCTAGGTATTTATAGGCAGTCAACACCCTTTTCTCTCCAGAGAGCCTTCACCTGCAGAAATCATTTGCCTGATAGCCAGATACAAGCTGGAACAGAAGGAACAGTGTATGTTTTGAATACAAAGTGGAGATTTTTCTGCCATTTTGTGCCATTCAGCTGGCTTTATGCATTCAGGGTAAAAGAACATTAACATTTAAAAATAAAATAATTGTTGGCTTTTTGTTGACTTGCCACCGTATCTAGTATGAATGTTTTTGTACTCTTTGATGGAGAGAAGCAAGGCTCAGGAGTATCTGAGCTGACACAATGCCTGTGCTCCATAATGCATAGAAATCCCTTATTTTCCACTCTTTTTGTCCAGTAAAAATCCTGTCACAGACTAACCCTGTAGTGCATGGACTTCTTTCTCTCTGTATATTTGGGAGGAGAAAGTGTGAGGTTACACAGAAGCACAAGATCAATCTCCATATTATAGAACACGGGGGCACACAGAAATCTTGCAAGTGGGGACAAAAACGTAATTGGGGTTTTTCTTTGTAAAGAAGAAATTTTCTTTGATACAAGTAAGCATTGATAGTGAGCATAATACCATCAAAATTGAATTCACCACAGAAACAATTAATCTTTGCTTCCCTCAACCTTTTCTCTCCATTATGGGCTACTTATCTGCATAAGTCTTGCCTGTACTTCTGACACTGCTTATTTTTGATGTCTCTGTGGTATTCTCTCTCAGCATGTGGTCATACGATTTTTGAAAGCTGATTTCGATACATGGTTTATAAGGCACAGGAATCAACCTTTTTTCCTTTTTTAAGTAGGCACATTTCAATACTTTGATGTCCATTTTTCCTCCTTGGACCGTCAAATACAAAAGTGATATAGAAGAAATACCTTTTGAAGAGACAATAATCCATTGTCCCTACCTTTTAAAATACTGCCTCTATATTGAACAAATGATGTTGCCTAAAAAACCTATAAAAACTCTGTACATGCTGTTTTCAAAAAAAAAAAACTCAATTTTATCTCCTTGGTTTAGTTCCTCCTTTTGTGGGGCCTGCATAGATATAAAGATTCAGGACCTTTTATATGACCTTGGTGTCAGACAGTTAACCATTCACAGAAAAAAAATGTTCAGACAGCATTGTCCTGTTCTGTAAGCCATCCTGTTTACATCTACATAAAAGAGCCTAAGAAAAGGGATGCTGGATCAGGTCAGGGATTAATTCAGTCCAGGATTCTGTTCACACAGTGACAAACCAGGTTGGCAGCAGGATATGGTACAACAGCTCCCTTATTTCCATATTTCCCAGTAACTGGTGTATATAGACAGATGGCCTCTGACACTGGAGGTAGCATAGAGCCACCAAGATGTGTACCCATGTGTAGCCTTCTCCATGGATTTGTCAAGTCCTCCTTTAAAACCATCCAATTTCCAGGCCATCCCTACTTCTTGTGCCCATAAAATCCACAGTTTACCATAGTGTACTTCCTTCTACCCATCCTGAATTTCCCACCAGTTAGATTTATGGAATGAAGCTGACTTCAAATATTACGCAAGAGAGAGAGAAGTGGACTCGCCTTTTCCTAAGCAAAACAATCTCAGCTCTTGTAACCACATTGAAGAGTTTTTCCAACCTTCTGCTTCCGTTGCCCTTCTCTGCACTTTTTCCAACTCCTTTTTCACACGCGGTGCCCAGAACTATACACGATATTCTAAGTGTGATTGCATTAAAGACTTGTGTATGGGAAATTTGATCCTGGCAGTTGTATTTTCAATTCCTTTCCTAATCATGCCTAACGTGGTGTTTGCCTTTTTCACAGTAGCTGTGCACTGGATTGACATTGTAGTCAAAGACGTTAACCACAACCCCAAGATTCCTTTCTTCCATCAGCCACTGCTAACCCAGATCCAATCAGATTAGACTTAAAGTTGCATTCTCTGCACACCATACTTCATACTTGTGGATACTGGACTGCACGTGCCATTTTAACCTCCATTCTCCCATCTCTGAGATAGCCCTTTGGAGCGGCTCACAATCTCCCTTGCTTTTAAGTAGTTTGGTGTTATCAGCACACTTGGGCCACTTCACAACTCATTCCTCTCATTGCAGGTCATTCATGAATAGATTGAAAAGCCCTGGTCCTCATAAGATCCGCGTGGGACCCCAAAAATGCCTTATAAAACAGTTTATTACTTGGCATTTTAGTATGGAGGCAATTCCACAGAGGACATTTGGCCTCTGGTATAGTTAGAGAACAGCTCTTACTATTTTTGCAGACCTGTAAAAGCAACCAGCCACTCATTGATACCTCAAGTGGGTCGCTACTAAAGACTGCAGCACAAGACCCCCCGGAGGCAGCGGCCGCTGAGGTTAATTCTCGAGTTTGTCATCATCCTGAAAAGCGGAAAGCACAAAACAGGCAGAGCCGCCGCCGTGTTGTGTTCCGAGTAGCAGATCAAGCCTGCTGATCTTAATCCAAGGAACTTTGTTGTTCGCCCGCAGCTCGTGTATTGCCTTCGGTGGCGAGGCGCATCACGGGCTGGAAGACCAACAGAGGGTCCTGAAGCTGCTGGGCTTGTGCAAGTTCAAGCCATTTCCCCTTGCCAGATTGCAAGCCGCTGCTGGAATGCTTTTAACCCCGCATGGGGTGGCAGCTGGATGCATCCAGCTGGCTGCTTGAGAGACTGGCTTAGCTTAGCTTAGCTTAGCAGAGTTTTCCAGGCAGCCCTGACATACGCAGCAGCCTTGTTAATGGGCTGCTAATCTGCACTGCTTCCAGTACAGCACTCGGCAGTCGCATCGGCCGAGCGTCAGGATGGCTGTGCCACCTCTCCAAAGGGGGAAGGCGCACGTGTCGGCACTTGTGACCTCCAATTGTGTGTCGCTTGTGCAGTCCGTAGCCCCCAGCCCCAGATGTTTCGGCCTGCGACGTGGTGTGACCGGGGCTGATGGGAGTGGGAGACCAGAGCAGCGGGAGAAGCACTCATAGCCGTGCCCCAAGCTTGGCCCACCAAGGCAGGCGCCTAGTGCCTGGCCAGGTGAGAGAACATCCTGCTGAGAGCGGTCTCTGTTTTCCAGGGGCTCCGGCAAAGGGCTTTCAGGTCACCTCCCACCTGACCCTTTCAGCGGGAGATACACTGGGCTGTGCCCCTGGCCCCTCGTGCTTCCCGTTCGTTCCCAAGCCCTTAGCTGTGCCACTTGCCAATGGCCAATTGTAGCGTGCGGCTTGAAGAGCCCTTGCAGGTCACAGGCTCTGTCTAAGAGTGTTCCGTAAAACGCACGCCATTTATGAAATGCTCTTAATCCAGGGGGCCATGTAAGGAATGGCAGAGGAAGATTTTAGGCCAGGGAGGTGCTGGCCTCTCCGTCAACTAGAAGGCAGGCTGTTCTGCAGGAGAAGACATTACCTGCTGGGAGATTTGAGCAAGTCTTCCCTTCCAGGACACCGTATCCCCATGGATGCCCTCCAGTGGTTCAGACGACTCCCCCCAGCAACCCTGGCCGCTGGCTGGCTGGGGCTGACGGGAGCTGCAGTCCAGAGCACCCAGAGGGCAAGTTGGAGAGAGAAAGGCAGTCGTTCTCCTTCCATCTCGGCAAGCATGCTCAGTTCTGCCCCTGCATGCAGGCTGCGGCGTAGCTTAGGGGTGGAGCGGCTGCAGAAGGTGGCCGCTCCAGGTAGCTGATGGGCTGCGCAGACGAATGTCCAGGCTCGACGCAGGAAGGCGACTCCCTGTGTTCTGTGCCTTGTCTTCGGTGCATCCCGGAATGAGGCAGGCTAGGCAGGGGCTGGGGACTAGAGTGTTTGTAACACCATTGTCCCCGTACCAGAGCTGACAGTGTGACCCAGGGCATACTCGAGCAGGAATATGTGAGACACAAGTCTTCCACGAAGTGGCCACCCCATGGAGCAAGGCATTCTCGATCCTATGTGGGATAGGTTTGCTGGGTGCCTCAAGTCTGTGATGAATTGTGCAGGGGTCTTGTTTTGTCCCTGCATAAAAATTACCACAGGATGTGGTTTTATGTTTCCATAAAACTGCTTCCTCCTATAATAGCAATTTTCGGTTATGTCTGCCGGTCACATTACAGATTCAGAATAATTTCATGCTAACTGCTGCAGCTGAGACAGTTTGAATGGGCGGCTTTATAGTTTTTACTCATGCAAAATACAGTTTCATATTGAAGCCTCATGTGGAGAATAGTGAGTCACAGGTCCGTATTCATTGGCTTTTGCAAGGTTAGTTTTCCATAAGAACACAGCGTACATTTGCCGTGGTGTGACAAAGCTGTTAGCACGCAAGTGCCCACCCCTGGAAGGGCCCAGCCTTGAGTGGGAAGTTAGACAAACTTGTCCCTTTTGTCTGCTTGGGGGAAAGGCACTTCTGTTGTGATGCTTTCCCTTGGGTCGCTGCCAAGGTCTCATGCCCGGCTGGGTCCAGGTGTGGACATTCTGTTTGCCCAGGTCTCTTTCAACTGGACTGGTGGTACCTGTTTGATTTACCTGTTGCTTTGTTACTTGTAAGGTTTTTAATGATGCATCGGTTCAAACTGGATAAGCATAGGCCACCCTGGAAGAAGCCTATCAAATGGAAGGGCGTGCTATTTTCGGGTTTATATTATTCCCATATTGTCCACCTTTCTTCCTCTTGCAAGGAAGCCAAGGCAGCTGGCAAAGTTCTGCTGCTCTCCATTCTGTTTCCACAACAACAACAACCCTGTGAGGTAGATTGGGCTGAGAGGCAGTGACTGGCCCGAAGTCACCCAGTTGGCTCCATGGCTGAGCGGGGACTGGGACCCAGATCTCCACTGGCTCGTGGCGCTTTACTGAGTTCAGGAGGGATTAGAGGTCAAAAGCAGCTACAAGCAGAAGAACGGAGAAGGAAGCAGAGACTGGGGTGGACAAGCCATGCTGGCCGCTGAAGGATGATGGGAGCTGTAGCCCCCACGCGTCTGGAGGGTGCAAAGTTGTTCCTTCCCTTACTGCCGAGTCCTTCGCTGTGTCACTTGCCATTGGCAATATGAGATTTGACAGGCAGCACAAATGCAGCTGAGCGTGGAAACGAGGCAGCTGTGATGGGGTGGGGCTGCCCAGGAAAGAGAGATTTTGAGGAGGGGTTTATTTATTCCTTCGTTTGCTTGAAGGAGTTAAGAAAAATAACACCACACAGGTTATGTGGGGCAGTCGCAAACTGCAAGGGAGAGACAGCTGAGTCTTCGGGGAGACAAATATAGCAGTTACTAGCCACAGACCTCATTATCTGAAGCACAGTTTCTTCTGCCTTCTGCAAAACACCAGCTATTTTCAGGATTTTAGCATCAGCACTGCAATTTCATTATAAATTTACAAGGCAAATTGGGAAGCTTTTTAAAAGTTTTTTTTTTTTCCTCACAGGGTCAATTCAAGGTCCATAACCTCTGTATTTTGTGGCAGTTTGTAAGTTTGGTGCTGGGGGGGTACTCAGACATTGGTATTTATTATTTTAAAATGTGCATTTTGATGCAGAAAGATACCTGATGCAAGGAAGTTGGAAAGAGAGGGGAGATTTTGCTCTTTCTGTAGCTGCTTGTGGAGTTTTGGACTAAGCAGAACTCTTCTTTTTTTCTTCCAGAAGTCCTCATGAAAAGAAGAAAAGGAGATCTCACTCTCACACCAAGTCGAAAGCAAGATCTCATTCACCGTCAGCCTCACCAGGCAAACAGTCCGTGCATAAGAATACCACCCATTCCACAAGTGTCTCTCCTGTGGAGAGTAGGGAATCCAGTCAAGAGCGTTCTGGGTAAGGAGTTCCATGCAGGCACTTCCCTGTTGGCTTACGTAGATGGGGGACAGGGTTGCAGTGGGGATTGGTTGGCTAACTTAATTGTCCGAATGTTTGCGGTGATTCTGGAGCCCCGTTTCTGCAACTGCTTGACCAGACAACCTAGATGACCAAAGGGGTGGCTGAGGCAGTAGAAGCAGGGTCATAGAGGTGGATCCACATGGGCATCTCATGAGACAGTGTGGCAAAGTTGGGGTGCCGGTGGGACATAACAAATGTGAACGTGTGTGCAATTTTTAAAAGAAAAAGAGCCCCAGCATCCCACCAGTGGAAAAGCAGGACCCCTCCATTCTTTTCTGCTTGCAGAGAGTTTATTTTAATGTGCAGTGAACGCTCACATGTGGGTTTTCTGCTGCCTGGATTAGTCTTGTTCACTCTGCTGCCACGTTCCGTTCCTGTGTAGATCTGGCAACACAAGATCCACTTGCCAAGTGCTCGTGTACAACCTGTGATTAAAAGCTTGCCTGCATTTGGCTTTTCCTTTCCTCTCATGGACATGTCTACCCCTACAGTTTCCAAACAACTAGAGTTGATCCTTCCATTAAGTTCAACCATGAAATATTTAATGTGCTGGCTTTTAATGCAGCTGTTTTAATGGAGACTAAAGTTACCACTCATTATTTTTTCATTTGTTTATTACATTTATACTCCACCGTTTTTCCTTCTCTTAGTACTGGCTCTTCTATGCTCCACAATTGAGTGGTTTTTTCTCCACTCTTGCATTGAGCAAGAGAATGTAAAGGAGAAGGAATTTTGGAAGTCCTTCCTCTGGGCTTTTTCTTCCTAAGAAACTCTTTATTTCTCTTAAGCGTCAGGTAATCACTGCTGCCTTGGGTCTTTTAGTAATAGCGTAGCTGTACACCTGGTCAGACTTGGCTACCTGGCAGCAGTCAGGAGACAACTAGTTGGAAACCACTGGGGAAAAGGCACCAAGGGTGGCCTTGCTCGCACAGCTGTGGAGCCTGCCCATTCATCTAGATGAGTCTAGATCAGCCCTCCTCCTGTGGACACTGTTTAATTATATTTAGGATTACACAGAGCTCAAGCTAAATAAAAGCACTTTGCATAAATTGCCTCATTGGCCCTTACAAGAAGCATGGAAGGGGAGATAAGAATTATTGCCCCTACATTAGGGGCAGGGTATGGGGGGCAATGGCTGAGACTGAAAGCAGCTTGGCTACCCAGTGAGATCATGGCAGAAGTGAGAGTTGAACACACAGCAAGCTCTGAACCATTGCATTTGGTATATTTGTAATGTTAGTTGAACTATCTGGATATATGTAATTCTGCAATAACTGACAGTTGGTATCTCTCTCTTTTTTAATCCTTTTAGGGGAGTATCTTTGGAAAAAGATGGCCAGATCTCTTCTGCAATTGTATCATCAGTACAGAGCAAAATAACTCAGGTACAATTTGAAGATGTTCCTGTATCTCAGGCTTAATGATGATAAACTTCCCTGTCCATTTTGTCCCAATTGCACCGCATCATGTTTGAATTGCAGGTTCAGTGTTGAAATGGCTTTCTAAAAGGGTCACTGCAAATGGATATGTAACCTATATACCTCTGGATCTGAAGTCTTGTTTATGAGCGAGTTGCCCTATCTGTCCATGTGTCAGTGCTGCGGCTAGACTGCCAGAACAGATTTGCTTTCCAGAGACACAGGAAGGGGAAATGAACGATCATTCACATCTCTGTCAGACCATGCAGCAGCCTTCTCCGGGTATCTGCATGGGCCTTCCATCACCTTCAGCCTTAAGCACAAACTCTCCTCATCTTTCCCTTTTTATTGCTCTCTTCGGCCTTGTTCCCCCTCCACCATTTTGCTTCTGTTTCATGATTTCCTCTTGCTTGTGTCCTTTCCTTTCTTGTCCTCCATTCCCTTTGGTTCTGCTCTCTCCCCATTAGCTTCATTTCTGACTCTGGAATTCTGTCCTCCTCGTTCCCGTCCCTGTTGTTGCTGAATCCTCAGTCCTCATTCCCAGCTAGCGCAAATCATACTATGTGGCGCACGCTATTATCGCATGTTATCTTTTTTCCAAGTGCCTTGGAGGACAAGGAGGCTGAAGTGGCCTCATTTGCTTACTTCGTAAAGCCCGCTCATGCAGTGACGCGGCTGAAGCAGAATCACAGGTGTGGGCTGCTTTCTGGTTAAACAGCCCAGCTCCACAACCACTGGGCGGTTTAACCCACGTTGAGCTAAGGAGCAGTCTGGCAGGGGTGACCTTGATGGTTAGTGCTCAGGGTCTTGTGGGAAGTCAGCAGGGGAACTGAGTGAATCCACACTGGTGGCGCGTCCTTCCTCCCATATAAGCCAGCAGGTGCCATTCATTCCCATAGAGAGCCTCCACCACACTTGGGAACCGTTGGGAAATGGCGGGCCGGGCTCTCGGCCTCCAGGAGTGGCATGCCCAGCCCTTCCTGGCAGCGCTTCCTTGTTTCGGCTCTTCCCCGCCATGACCTTTGCGATATGCAAGTCCTCCCGTTATGGACCCTACCCCTCTCCCTCACCATGATGAGCATTTTGTTAGCTCTTGCGTATTCGACAGATTTGGTCCTTTTTTTCCGTTTTATGAACCACACTTTCTAATGAAAAAGCACTTTAAGGATAATTGTTACATGCTGCTAACGATAACAATGTAAGAATTGCAGCAGTGTGAAAGGATGCAGTAGAGTTTGTTTACTGGTTTGGATACAATAAAAATGTCCTCCACTTCGTTGTGGGTCATAGCCTTAGCACAGCGCCTTGAATACTCATATCTTGCCTTTGGCATACTAAGCAAAGTGCATATAACGCTATCTAATGCGTTCAATTTCCTTCATGCAATCTAGTCAGGAAAACAATAATTCTCCGATCTCAGCGCTCAGATTCACTTGTCTTAAAAATGCATCATCTTGTTGTGTTTATTGCAAATTTAATTTGACTTGGCAAGATAGTTTCTAAGCGGATATTTGGTTTTCTCTTAATATGTTAGTTCTGAGAAATTTCTCTTTGGTGCTTTTAATAATTCGTGTCGCTTTTCAAAGCTGCAATTATTGAGCATGTGTTCTGTTGCTGCCTGTGGTGTCGCTGGGATCCTTTTTACAGGAATGGCCTGAATTTGTTGGAAACTTTGGTTGGTTCTAAGAGAAGATCACCTCTGCCTAAGGAGAGGCAGACCAATCCTGCAGGTGCAGAAGCTGAATTTTTGCTTTCTGCTACCACTCATCTGGTTAGTTGGGGTTTGTATGACCGTTTAGAACTTTGTTCAGTCCAAGGACATGGGGGCTGCATCCCATCTGTGATCAAATGAGACAAGCCTTGGAAAAAAGGACCAAATCACTCAGCAGCTTCCTCCCCTCTCCCCTGCAAGCAAAAGCTTGTATCTCCATTGGAAGCTGACTGGAGATAAGAGCTTTCTTCTGCCAAACACTGCGAATGGGAGTTGTTCCTGGGCTGTTACACGAAGTCAAATGCAGAGCTTTAGGCTGCTGGGAAATGAACAGCCCGGAGTTTCAACCCACTTTGGTTTGTGAACTCTGGATTGTTGCCTTCATGTGAACCAGCTTGATGTATCTGCCTGTGGTTGCTATGCTAGAGCAAAGGTCACTGTCCTTGTTGCATTCCAGCACATCATTTGTTAAACTGGTGCTTGCGTTTCCAGATGGAGCACAAGTGACAATGTAAGATAAAGCAGTGAGAGCAAGATGGGCTGCAGATGGAATTACTCATTACTAAATGCAGGACTTTCCACTGTCAGATACAAGATGGCAGCCTGGATGGCATTTGGTCTGATCTAGCAAAACAGTCCTCCTATTCTTGATTCATTTCCCAGTGGTCTTGGAAAAGCAGATTTGCCTTGCTGTATATCCTGCAGCCCGTTTTTTCTGTCTTGCACTGAAGAAAAGTGAGTAATTTAGACTGCTTCAGTGCTCAGTTTATCTAAAAGAATAGGTCCTGTGGAGGATATCTTCTGCAGAAATTGCGAGCGGCATTACAGCTTTTTACTTCTTTAGGAATTTGAGGCTGACTGAAAAGGTTTCTTGGCTTCCTGGATCAGAGCGGTTTTTTCAAGTCTTTCTTCATTTAACCTCTTTGTCTCAGGATTTGGAAATGGTGTATTTGTGGAGAACTTTCAGTATTGTGTAGCTTTATATAACCTTTTTTTACGTTTTGCCTTTATCAATTTACTTTCCTTTTTTATGTGGCAGTTTCATTGTCTCTATTCTGTCAGAATGTCCTTGCAAGACTTCCTAGAAAAGTCCTGACCTCACTTACCTTTTGCTGTATTCGTTTGCAGGATCTTATGGCTAAGGTGAGGGCAATGCTCGCAGCTTCCAAAAACATCCCAACTAGCGCATCTTGAGACCCGAAGAGCTAGCTGTTCAGAAGATGGAGTACAAATGGAAAATCTGTTCCAATGGTTTCTAGCTTTCCTTACCCAACTGCAGCTTTCAAGAAGCTAAAATTCTTGCTGTGTACAGAAGAAGGTACCCTTGGAACTTGGATAAATCTTCCATGTGGAACTTCCTTTTGATAAAACAGCCTTTTGGGGTTTTGTAAATTACATTTTGACTGGTTCTTCAGTAAGAATTTTAACATGAGCGGTGTTTGTATATTTGTAAATACAGCGTTCCTGCAAGTGTCACATAAATAAAAATGCAGATAAACACTTTTTATTAGGGAAATGCTTTTTCGAGGTTGGTTTTTACTTTTCATTTAGATGATTTCTAGGCACACGTTCCAGTACGGAGGATTCTCCCATGTGGCATATGCAGATTGAAGGCTGCAGCTTAAAACCAGAATTTAGCAATAAAAATGGCAGACAAAGTGATGCATTAAAACCAGAGAACGGGCACAGTTCATCAGACAGCTAACCCTAAGGGCCTTGCCTAATGGGGGCAAAGGGGCCAGCTCCCCTTTCTTCCATACTGCAGCCGAGGAGCTGGTTCCAAGTGTTTTGGGGGCCACCACTGAAAAAGCCTGTTCAGTATTAGGCCGGGAACCACTAGACGGTGTGACCACCAAAGGATGATCAGTGGCAGACCGTGACCAAAAATACATGTACAGAAGTTGAGTGGCGCCCTTGGATCCTGGATTTTTCAGGTAAGCCTCTGCAGAATGAACAGCACCCAGTGCAGTTCATGCAAGCAGGTCACGTCCTCCCCTTTCCAGTGTTAATGGGGCACGGTCTGAATACAGTTTTATTAATGTTTCTATCATTTGCACTTGAAGTGCTGTTGATAGGGAAGTGAATACATAATCCAATCTGGGGTAAGAGTTAAACTAAAATGAGTAAAATAATGACTGTAAGGGTTAAAAAACTTTAACTTGGAAGTTCTAATGTTTGATGGTTTCAAAATCTGGAAGCCATTCGGTGTTTAGCACACCACTCTGTATACGCTTTGTCACTGACCCATTTTTCTTTAATATATTCTTATTTCTAATATAATTTCCCCAAATGCAAAATAGGTTTCATTCTCCAGAGATTCCAGACTGTCCTTATTTAACTTTTTCCCTCAATGCACAAGAGAAACCCAGAATTGAAAGTTAGTGCAGATGCTATCTTGCCTTTATAAATGGCTCATGGCAAATAGCAATTATATACTAAACCTTGTGAGCTTCCTATAATTACAGTTTCATTTATCATACAGACAGAGGTTCAGTGAAAAAACTTCAAAACATTTTTCAAAAGAGAATGGCAGTGTTTTAAATGGCAACTTTGAAAAATGCCCAAAAGATAAAATGTTGATCGATGACTTGTTACCACAGTGTAAAGTTAAACAGTATGGTTTTACAGTGTATTGTATGTTACAGCGTTAAATTTAAGTTTCAGCCCTTTAAATTTGACTGTTCCGTGGGAATAACAAAACACACCCTTTCTTAAGGTTGCATAAGCACTGTAAGAAGAAAAGCTCTAGGAATATTTAATTAAAAGGTCAAGTATTTTGTCCTCCTATTGATTTATTTCAGTGGATAACAGTACAGGCTATTTTCCCATTTTTTGAAACTCATAATGAAGGGTGGGGTGATTAACCATTACATGGCCCAGGAAAAAGACCTGTCCTTTTAATAAACTTATTAAAATTTAAATGCGCTACCGGTGATAGTCATTAAAAGAAACTTCAAGCAGGTATTATTTGCCACTTCTGGAATGTTGCATTTTGTTAGTCCTCTGAAGTCGGCCACACCTGCTTTATCACTATAATTGCCTTTATACCCCAGCTTTCTTTCTCTTCCAAGGTGGCCCACAAGGTTCTTCTCTCATTTTATCTTTACAACAGCCCTGTGAGATGGGTTAGGACGAGAGTCTGCCTGGCCCAAAGTCAGTAAATTGCACAATGGAGCAGAGACTAGAACTCAGGTCTCCAGTCCGACATTTGCTACATGACATTGGCTCTTTGGTGATGTTGCTACTCCAGTGCCTTGTGCAATCAGCAGTGTCAAGATGTCACTGTAATGGCTTTATTTATTCTTTACTAGCATTTGTATGCTGCTTATTATTGTGCAGAGTTTTTACAGCAGCTTTCAGTGATGCCTAGAAAAATACACTGAATTTAAAACACAAGAGCAATTCAGTGCTGTTAAAACTGGTCTGATTCCATCCCCTCAGCAGCTGGAAGACTTCCCTAAAAGGGGCATTTTGCCAAGTTGTCTAAGAGTTCATTACAGTTCAAGACCTCTTTCTTGTCCGTGCCAGTGACCATTCTGGCAACAGAAGACCCATACACTGCTCTTGGGAGCTGGAAAGGACATCTGTACGAGTCTTAGAATTTCCTTTCCAAGTTGACTTTTCTGCTGAATCAAACTGACCCAGAAGGAATGCAAGGACCATAGCTCTGTGGAAGAGTGCCAACTTTGTGAATTCAAGCTCCCCATTTCAGCCCCTTGTGTCGGATAAGTCAACCGTCTGCCTTGGGTTTTATAAAGCAACTTCTTTGTTCCCCTTTGCCTCCATCCCTGTTCTCCAAATAGCATTCTGCTCCACAGGCTTCCCCATGAAAGCTGGTCTTTGGCAACATTTTCTTCTCCCAGGGTGCAGTGAAAGTCTGAATGCCATCAGCTCCAAGCAGCCCTTTCCAAACTGCTCATATCCTAGAAAAGAACGAAGCTCAGTGACCTTCTGTGCAGTCATAGGACCTATATCAGAGCGTGATGCCAGTCAATGGTACGTTACTGGAGTTTGATGCAGCTGTGGCAAAGGAATTCATTCAAATGTTCGGTTCTGTACAGGGACAAAAATGTCTTTTTTCTCCTTCCCACCACAAGTGAGAGCAGAATCGGAGAGTAACAGCTTGTGGGAGATCTAATGGCTGTTTATCGGTGAGTCACCATATGAGGAAAGCTTTCAACAGCCAAACTAGCCTGCAACAATTGTTTGCTTGTTTTTGTTGTTATTATGAATTTCACCGACACAAAAAGAACAAAAATTAAAAACAGTAAGAACTCCACAGATAATGATTACTGATAGGTAAATACCAAACAATTGCAAGCAGCAGACCAAATATTTGTATGTATAAACATTCAAAAGTAGTTTTTTTATTCATCCACTCCAATATTGAAGTGGTTGCTGAATCTTCATAGCATTCTAGGAGGTGAGGTTTTAGCTATCCAGTGTTGTAGGATCAACCTTTGAGCTTGATCAATCAAAGTGTATGAAAAATCCACTTACATGGGCCAAGCTTTAACCCCTCAAGAAACCAGTAAATAATTTTAAAAGAAGGTATGCATCGGAAAATATCAAAGAGGTTTCTAATGCAATGTTTATCTGGATTTTTAACTTTCACCTCAAAAGAGGCAACCATTGGAAGTTGCCAAAATGCATAGTTAAAAGAAGCATTGATTGTTAGTCAACGTAGATGAACCATTATGAAAAGATTGTTGTGGCATCCAATAAATGCAAAACCCAAGCTTTGGTTTAAGATGTAATTTGAAAGCCATTTACACTGACTCTAAGTCTCCAGTCTGCTGATTGGACCAAATAGGACAAACCAGATTTCGATTTCATTCTTCCCTTAGCCCCAGTATATTATCTATTCACCAATAATCGAAATTCATAGGTATGATGGGTTGATGTGGCTGATCGTACTCAATAAGTGTTACCAATAACTCTGGATACTGAAGCTGTAGATGCCACAGGGCCAAACCTGGAGTGTACCAGATGTTGCAGCTGTTAAGTATTTCCACCCATCCACCCCAGGGAAATCATAATAGGCAGACAAATCAAGAAATGACTGACTCATCATCTTCCCTGACTTAACTGATTCTAAGTAAAAATCAATTTGTCCACCTTCGTCTGCCATCTCTGTACTGATTTATAAGTCCAGATTTTGCCCGAAGGTCAATTTAGTATGCAAAAACAAATCAATCCACAGTTGATGTAATATTGTCTGCCAACAGTATTCAAGCTCCCGTAAGACTGGGGGAACCCTTTCCCTTCAGATACGTCAGAAGCCCAGTGGCATCCACTGGAGCAGAGGCTCCAAACAGGAGGACTTGATAAGGGGACATTGTGCAAAATCCAAGCAGAAAAGACTTAAGATCTGGCACAGGTCAGCAAATGGGCCTGATAATACAACAGGAGATTTAGAAACCAAATCCACCTGACAGCTGCAATAATGATTTGGCAAAATACAATAATCTGATCCGAGTTCATTTGCTGTAAACAGGCGGACCTGTTAAGTCCCCGCATGAATGGCCCCTGCACTTCCCATCGCGACTTGCATTGCAGAAATAATTGCCTTTGGCGGGAAGTAGGTTTGACCAGTGAACCAAAAAATGACTTCCTGGCAGTTCTACCTACTCAAGACTTCCTGATAGTTCTTCCTATTCAAATGATCAAAACGTCCCACCACTGCAACTCCGTTTCCCCTGGAAAGCTTCCACCGAGCCAGTGTGGGACAACATGAAGCTAGATCAGAACCATAACTTTAAATCAGTCTGGGAAGCAAGCCAGGTTCACACATTGTTTGATAGCACTAACTTATTGCTGGGCGTGTGAACCAACCCCATTGTAAAGCTTTTCTCTGTAAGTTGGACTGGATCGTGTTGCAGGAGGCGAGGTCACAACCTGAGAGGCAGAAGAGGTTTCCAGCCTGCAAGACCTCTCAAGGACCCTGGACAGATCACCGGTGGACACCGAAGCGGTGGTGACCCCATATTTTTCCTTTCAGTCAGGAAAGGCTTGTTTGCCTGTGCAAATGGCCTTCATTGCACATCTGTCACTTGATGCTTTCATGTGAGATCTAGAGTCTTGTAATGCGTCCCTCTGCCGCAATAGGCAAAACGTGACAAGTTACATCAAACACAGCTGTCAGCCTTTGCTAATCTCTTTCCACAGAACAGTGCGTGTTGCTGGACTCCAGCTACCATTCTCCCTTATTAATCTTGCCAGCTGGGCTAGTGGGAGTTGGAGTCCAGTGAGGCATAGGGCTGTAGAAGCTACCAAATGCTTTGCATGTTAGAAACCCCCAAGCCTTGCCTCCAGATAAGAAAAAGAGAACCCAAAACCCTGGAGAACTTGTGCCAGTAAGCATTGACAATATTAAACAATATTGGATCACTGGGTTGACTCTGGAATACCTGCAGAACAGCTAGTTCTCCTGGTTAATTGGAGCTGGAAATGCTCCAACCAGACTGAGCCAGATCTGTAGTCAGAGTTTTTTCCCAAATGAATCCGTTAAAAGTAACTTTTAAAAGTAACTCCTTGCAAGGCAAGGAGTTAACAATTTGAACTTAATGTGTCATCTTGGGCTCTTTCCACAGAGAGGAGAAAAATTCGATCCAGTTGCTGTGAACACCATTTCTATCCAAAGCAAGCTCATTAAATAGTTCTCAACTGGGTTCTCCTCCTCATCTAACCTGCAATAATTGGAAAGTGAAACATCAAATCCTTATTCAATGATGACTTTTCGAGCAAAACAAGTTGTGGAAAATCTCTCAGCTCCTAGAGATCAGACTTGTCTTGTTTTGTTTTTACACCTTACAGCCAGCAAGGTGGAAATCATAAAGAACAGATCTAATTAGGAAGTCTATACTGGCAATAGAGTGTACACAGTTTTTGGATCTCTTGACACAGGCAATTAGAGATGAAATTGGTCCAACCAATACTAGCAGTCTAACCAGCAATCCAGCACGGTTGCCTTGAGCAGTTACTTAGCGATTTCTTAAACTCTTTCCCTTGGATGTGAGTCACACTTTTTACACCTTCACAGTAAATTATTAGCAAAACAAGATGGAATATTAGCTCCAGGATATTATAACACCAGCTTCATTTTCACACAGTGTTCCTTTCTATGGAGGCTTTCTTGTGTATTCAACATTCTCCCCGGGGATGTATTTCTTCTCTTTCCCTACCTCCATCTACTAAATGCATTGCTTTGAAATCTCTGAAAGGTATGTTTAGTGGCATTTATTTCTTTGGCTGTATTCCTATCTGTGGGCGGGCGGGGGAATTCTCACACACAGACTCGGACCCCACAGATACCTAACTATAAAGCACTTGACTGTCTCGTAATTGCTTTAGAGAAACAATGTTTTTCTCGAAGCGTTTGAGAGATGATTTTCTACAACTTGGAGATTATGGGCTTGCTTTCACAAAAACTGGGGCGAAAGTTCTTAAGCAGTGTATTCTGTCACAGAAAGGAAATAGGCCTAGATCATTTGGGTTTTCTCTGTATTGGGGTGTCAGCACCTTACTCCAAAGTGGAGTTTGTTATTGACTTACGTTTGAAGTTGAAAAATGGGCCACTCTTCCTTTTTTCTGGCTTCCCTTGATGCTGAGCAGATCTGAAAACAATAGAGGAGGTTTGTCGAATATTCAGAGCATCTAGCTCTGGTTAGCCCCTTAGATTGCCGCCCAGTGGCCCTGGCTGTAACTCTCAGCACTGGGATGATTTGGGCCTCTGTTCAGGCACCTTCTCTGCCTCTCAATGTAGGCCTGCTTGGTATGGG